GAAGAGTGAGATCGAAAGTATTGAGTAACAAATCCAGAGCAAGACAAAATATATGTGTCATATAAAAATCTGAATATTTAATTAGCGCGATGTCGCTCTTTGCGTTTAGTATGCAATCATATCATTATGTTACAACAAACGGTTGTCATTTATGTTTTTTGACATCGGGTGTTTGAGACAATTTATGAAATAGGTATCACTATAAAAGCAGAAAATGTATGAAATAAAATCATATCATATCTAACTCTCGAAACAGAAGCACAATCATGAAGTTCTTGGTAAGACGAAAAATAAAAACGTTTTTGAAACGTAATAATAAATTAGAAAAATATATTACATTTTGCAGGTGGTACTCATTGTTGTGGTAGCCGCAGTGTATGGCGAAGATGATAAAAAAGTTGTTAAACGTGGTTTATTAGGATTAGGTGATGCAGGATTATATGGACATGGATTGAGCCACGGTGGATTATCTGGCGGTGCTTTGGTAGGACATGGACTTGGTTTGGGAGGAGGTCTATCAAGTTTAGGTGGAAGCAGTTTGGGAGTTGCTGGATTAGAATCCTCGCACAACCACAAGTGAGCCACACTGTATCCGTCAACCGAGTAGCAATTCCAGTTGCTCAACCTGTACCAGTTCCAGTAGAAAGAACTGTCCATGTTCCTTACAATGTACCTGTACCATACCCAGTGGACAAACCATATGCCGTCCATGTGCCTAAACCATACCCAGTCCCTGTTGTCAAGAACGTTCCGGTTCAAGTGGACAGCCCTTACCCCGTGCAAGTGCCAGTTCCAGTGAAAGTTCCAGTTGTTCACAAAGTAGCTGTTCCTGTTCCAGCACTTATCCAGTCCAGTTCACAAAGCTATTCCAGTTCCAGTGCATACACCAGTTTTAGTTAAACATCACTTGCATCACGACCACCATGATCATCATTTCGCACACCACTTCTAGTCTCATTTTAATATATAGTTTAATTTAGAAATTAGATATGTTATTAATATAGGTAAAATAAATTTTATAAAAAAAATATATCGTTGTTATTATTTGACGACTTTTGAAATAAAAACACACACTTAGGATCCTCAATTTTTTATGTTTTTTTCATCTTCATATGTAATGATAACATAAAGATTTTTGTGAATATTTTTATGAATATTAAATTAATTTATATTAACTTAAATTATAAAATACCTATTCAACAATACTTAATTATCTAGAATATTATTTAAATTTGCATGTATCTTATTCTAACAAATCGAAATAAAATCATAGATAATATATGTTTTATAATATGGATTTTTAGAACTACTATTATACATAGCACTACGTAGTAAAAAATTTTCTTAAAAGTTATATAAATAATAAATAAATATATAAATAATCTTATAAAAATTCAACAATAAACATTGGATTCAACATTAATACTTTTTCGAAAAAGTGTTATACGGTGATTTATGCGCTATGTACATAGATGATCTTGAATTTGTAGTTTTCTGGGGAACTTCAAAACGATATTGAGTTGCTTGACCTCCTTTTCTCTTGAGTTTTAAAGGTGTGTTTACATAACTTGATTGTTTTATATTTGATTGAACGCGATGTCCCACAGGCACGGAATTGACGATTCCCTTTCGATAATTGTGCCCTTTGTTGGGACCAAAAGTATAACTTCCTGATACACTATAAGTTTGCCCGCCTCGCAACTTTTCTTTGTGGCCCAAAGAACTTAGAATAATAGGCTGATCTAGGCCAGGTTCTTTATTATCCGGAAATGAAATCCTGGATGGCTTAAATGTAGGTGTCTGTGTATATCGAACTACAGGTTCTCTATAAGGTAAAGATAAAGGCGCAGTAGTTGTTTGTACTATTTTGTATTGAACTGGTTTAGCATATGCTTGAGGCACAATTTCTCCATGTATTGAATTTTCCGGTATTCCTTTACCATCATAGAGTCCGGAGTTTTGTGAGTAACTTCCCAATATAACATTCCCTTCGTAATAATTTTGTCCAATGTTCTTACCAAAGTTATCATAGGATAATCCTAAGCTTGGAACAAATCCTGAGTCCAAAGTGATACTTTTAGCAAAATAATCATGTCTTCTATCATGATCAGATAATTCACCATTTCCTTGATTAGCAAAGTGTACTGATCCTCGCTTTTCTAGCTTTTTATCGCTATCAGAAAATTCAGCTGATACAAGCAGCAAAGCTGACAAAACCTGCGAAAATTTTACAAATTAATATTAATTTTTAATTGAATCTCTAGAAATCTACGTATAAAGCGTATAATCATTCTAATGATTGTTATGAAACCAGTATAACTTACAAAGATTATTCATTGTTTTTTAAATATCAATATCATTATTACCTTTTCAATCACATTTAAAAAATAGTGTTAAACAGCGAGTTTAATAATGTTGAATAATTTTACTTTTCTTTTTAATTTAATAATTGGTTAATACATTGAATAATTTAATTAATGTGTTACTTGTTATAAATAAATTGGTAATGTAGTGTACTAATATATAAATTTGTTTAAATATTTTTTTACTTTATTTACTATATGACACATATATCAGTTCGATTTTTGACGAAGTGATTAAAACTTTATTACAATTTTGTGGTATAAAAACGCCAAAAATTTAAAAGTCGTATACGGTCCACAAATATATAACGCATTGTGATATATTTTGTCTATTAATATATTTCATAATTGTTTATTATAAACAAATCAATTTAGTATTACATATACGCAAAAAATAGTAGAGTATTGAAATTTTTATTACTAAACACATTTAATATTCTAGTAAAAATTAAATGGTTATGGACATCTTAGATTTTGATTATCTATTTTAGAAACAAATAATTTCACTTCGTAGAATGCTTAAATATAAATATTATGATCACAATCGATTTATCGCCACACACTTTTTAATTTCTTCATAATTTAAAGAACGTTGTATTCTGAAATCTACGAATCCTTGCTGACTGTTATGTATATTTCAAAATAAATTTGAATAAAGATTTTTTTTTCAAATTTCAAATATCTTCAAAAGTAATTTAAAATTAAATCTATAAACAACGTTAACTTTTTTGATATATTTCAATTAACTAATTTTTTTTATATAATTTAGAATACGTTGTATTTTCAAGCTTGTACGTCGACTATGATATTTTTAAATAGTTTAAATAGTAAGAACAAAACTTTGAATTTAAGATCCGTATAAATATATTCTAAAAATTATGACAAACTTCAACATAGTTTTGAAGAAGTTTAATATTTTAATTTAATTTAGAGTTTATTGTTATATTTATTTTAGTTTTTTTTTTGTTTAGCACGTTTAACACTACGCCACGATAAGAAATTTTCGGAAGATTTTTCTGCAGGAAGAAAATTTCATGGGCATAGTAACTGTATTAGATAATTTAGTTAAAAATATATCAAATAATTTTTTTTGTCAAACACAATTTTTTGTCACACATATATTACAGACATTTTTCTGTATTAATTATTTTTTTATATTAAAACTTTATGGCTTGTGGAGGAAAGCTAGGGGCTATTTGCTAAAGGAGTAACTAGTAACTGGCGTTTTTCAATAAAAAATAATAATTTTCTTTCTCGATTCGACATGTAAACCGTCTTGCATAATATTGTCATAGCTACTGTTCTGCAGACCGATGCAGTAAACAGAATTGTGCAGGTGCGTCGTTTTTGACAGGTGATATAAAGTTGATATAACATAATTCATAATTTTAAATTTTATTTATCTAATTTCGTTCCATATTTACTCATCTAAATTAACGTTCCAAATTAACTTTTGTGTTTGCTAAATTGTTTAAATAGTTATCTTAATTAATGTAAAAAAATCACACCTGGGGGTTGGTTGAAACAAAACTTTAGTTCGTTGTTTTGTAACATATAAGAATTATATATAAATACAAGTGACAAAAATAGGCTGGATTTTATAGTTTGTAAAATATAGCTGTATCACATAAGACACTCTATTATAATAATAGCGGTTTACTTTTATATTATAGAAAACATAAATATATTTTATCTATATTAATCATAGTTTACGTTGATTGATAGAAAAAATTACTTAGAAACAAGTCAATTTCCTTAAGAATAAGAAAAAAATAAATCATCAGAGGTATTGTTGTCGTTTTCTTGCTTTCGTGGACGTTACAACTAGCCCCAAACACGGGGTAAGTTGTAACTCCGCACTGTTTCTAGAGAATAATTAATTGTTAAATAATAAACAACATTTGTGGAATTATTATCACTTAGAGAAATAGTTACAGCGACTATCCATCTCTATTTTGTAGAAATTTAATCAGTGGATTTCAGGATATATTAATTCAAAAAATACTGTTATAACGAACCCCTAGCTCCCATATTGCTTCTTACCATCAGACACACACGACAATTAACTTGTTAAAAATATTCTACCAATTATATACTTTGCATATCTAAGTTAATTTTAATTAATTGATTTATTTAAATCACTATAAGTACTATTATGAATTGTGAATCTTGTTAATTACTTAATTATTGATTTTTTTACATTTTCACTTATTAATTTTTAAAAATCGTTATTCCATTAAACACGTTTCCACACATTTAAATCTGTATTTTACAACGTCCAGACGCGTATCCAAATATGTAGCACAAAGCATTAAAAACACAATGGGAATGAATTCCACAAAACCACCGTACATACCAAGATTAACTTCATGCTGTTGCAAGTACAAAGAAACAAGATGAAATGAAACAGTCTTCTTCGACTTTAATGTTTAAATATATATAAACTTATACCGGATACAAATTTCACTCGAAGGCGAAATGCTTTCTTCCATTCGCGCTTCAAGAAACAGAGGCGCCTTGAGGTAAAATTTATAAGTGAACGAGTTTTGTACTTGTACCTGCTACCAGGGACGAAATAATAGATAATAATTATGAATAAAAATATTTTTTCGAAGTATGCAAATTAAAATTCCTCATTTGACAAAGTCTACTTGATCACTCATCCTAATTTTCTTAGTATATAGTACGGATAATGGATGACCCATATAAAGTGGAAGCATTTGTTACTAAAAATCTATATGAATGAAGTATTATTTTTTATTAACTTCCCGCAGGGTAAGTTATAGGAATCTCAAAAAAATCGAAAATGATTTTTTTATATTTCTTAACGTTTCAAAAGTTTGTTAACATTTTGGCGTACCTTTAGTGGTCAAAAATAATCATTAAACACATGGAATTTTCAAACATTTTATAGAGATTTTAATTAAGTGTTTGTGATGCTGTTGCAAGTTAAGAGTTTTAATTACATAATTTGTGTAAATTTTTTTTGGGTTCAGGGACCAAGATTTTTAATTGTAAAGTTCATCTAAATGGTTTCAACAAATGTCTTTGACATTCTCGACAATATGGATAACCGATTTGAATGATTGAAAAAACATTCGGTTCGTACTGATCGCGAGAAGTTTTTGCAAAAGGCACGTCTAATCGTTTCTGGCGTATGGAGCGCAAAGGGTGTGAAAATGATCATGTAATTTTTGAGAAAACATATCATCCGATTATAATAATTTGAAAAACATTTTGTTTGTGTAGACGGTGTGAAAATTGCTTTTACAGATAATTTCATATTTTTCAAAATTTTCAAAAAAAACAAATTCAAAATTTAAAATTTTTTAACAATTTTCAAATAAAAAAGGTTTTACAAAACTTTCAGAATATTTCGAAATTTTCAAAAACATCGTATATTATAAAAAAATTTCAAATTCTCAAATAATTTAAAAAAAAATGTATTTTTTTTAAACTCTGAAAAAACTTGAGCATTTAAAAATTTTACTTTTAATTTTAATTTAGAAAACATTTCAGAACTTTAAAAAAAATCAATACTTGAAAAAGTCGAACAAATTTCTGGTAAACATCGTCGCCCAATCTAATAAGCACTTATAAGTTCACAGTATGCATTTATAATAAATATTCTATTTGAAAATATTTAAAACAACTGTTATTATTTATTGAATAATTTTAAATTTCAAATGTTTAATTGCGGTACGGGAAGTTCCAGCAATATGCATTATGATCATAATGCATATTGCTGGAACTTCCCGAGGCCCGATGCCATGCACCATTAGATGCATTCCGATTATGGTTTATTTTGATTTAAACAGATATGTTTCTGTTATTTTAAATAAATAACAATATTTATTTCAGAAACAATTGTTTTTATTGATTAACCCTACAATCAACTGGGAACCAACAAGGATTCGTTGATAAATAATTTTAACCTTTCCACTCAGATGCCGCCAAGGCAAAATACGTATTAATTCTGCAACTAGCGAGTGGAAAGGGTTAAAGAATCAATAGATCTAATATGTTATAATAAAAATGGCACTATTCTTATTATTATTATTAAATATGATAGTAAAGGCGATTATTAATAATCCTGATCAAACAAGGTGCGAGTAGCATTATTTCTTAAGGAAGGTTGCGTGAACTTTGCTCAAGGAAAAATTACACGTTGAACATGAAATGTATATATAACCGACTTTATCAACATTATAGTTGAGGTTCAGCTATTTAGCAAAAGTTTTCCACTTTTCACTTTGCAAATAATATTTTTGCTTTCGCTATGAATCAATAAGTGCGATTTCCAATTGATATCTTCAATCAAACCTTATATCAGTAATTGCAATAATAAATCAATCAATTGAATTTATTTAACACATTTCATTCTACTTCGTGTTTTAAAAATGCATTTTAATTAATAAGTGTGAAAGTCAACTGTGATCAGTTCAAAACATAAAACATTCCAAGAAATATAATCCAATGATTTTTTTATTCTACTTGCCAGATTTATTAATCTATTTTGTGTTATATAGTTGAATCTTAAAATCGAATCAAATTTATTAATTTATTAAAAAATATAATTATGTTACCGTCTGTTTTCTAAAAATATGCTATATATTACCTTTTTGAATTATCATGGAAAACAAATAATTTATCTGAGTCAAGTTACCGAAGCATAACTTGGAGTAATTTGGTTTTGATTCAAATCAGAGCACGTTAACCTAGTGACTAATAAAATTTTTGAAAGAGAATTTCTAAGAAAGTAAATTTTATTTAAACATTCAAGATGGCACGATAGTTCCGCTTTCGATTTTTTTTAAATATTTCATTACTATATTTAATGTCCATTATCAAATAATGAAGAGAGGTTTTGAAGAGCATTTCACTCTTACTAAAATTAAATGTTTATTATATTTTTGTTTGAATGCATAGATAAAACTAACAATTGTTTAAACAAACAAAAAAGTTTAAACTTTGAATTTAATTATTTTAATTACTTTGGAGCGCGCGTAGGTTTCTATAGTATTTTTCAATTACGAATATGCATAATGATAGTTTCCAATTACTAAAATGTTTACAATTTTAGTTACAATTTTTTAATTTTGTTTTAAAGTACGCTACTGGTGGCTAATCATTTTACAAAATTTTGTTACTTTTACGTATTTTATACGTGTTCAGACATATATTGCGCACGCAACACTAATTAAGAATAAAAAACATGCAACAATTACAATTTGAAAGAATTTCTACATTTATGTGTGTTAATGAAAGCAGAGACTCACTGTTATATTTACATTTTTCAAATTGACATAATATTTGAAAAAATCAAAATAATGTCATGGTTTAAGGGACTAAAACTAATATTTACGAAAATGATTCAAAAGTTTCAAGATTTTATTACTTGATGTTATTAAATAAATAACCTTTGAATTTCTGAAATCGCTTCTATAATTTATCATTTGATCTTAATTACTTTGTAATATATACTAATTTTTTTGTTTCAATAAATTAAGTAAGCCAATAATTGTTATACTCCTGTAATAGAGCATTTGCATCTCTGATTTGTTTATTCACATTTAATAAAACCAATTTAATAATAAAAATTATAGAAAATCATATTTATTACATATAAATTGCTTGATATAATTTACAACGAATTACAAACTGCTATATTACATGGAATTCTTAATAGCATGAAAGATAAATAAAATCACTTGTTCATACACATGATAAAAATACATGAATATCTAAAATAAATATTAAGTCACTTTAGTTTTTGTTTGCTTTGTAAATTTCTCTGTACATTTCCTCCGCCTTGATTCACTCCTCTACCGAGAGGTGCTGGTTTACCTCCACGGCCACCTCCAAAAGAGCCCCTTCCTCCACCACGGCCTCTTTGATTTCCACCTCGCCCTCCTTTCATATCTCCTCGTCTTTGGCCTTTTACCATAGTCTCTTCTTTAACCATATCTATGACTTCATCTGGGATTCGCAAGTATTTAATCGTGCTTCCTCTAATATAGCATTCGGGCATTCTCCAGAATTTATCACCATCCTGTAATAGAAAATCAAATATTCTAAAAATAATTGCCACATATATATATTGTTTGTTATACTGTAGAATTGTACTAACCCTAGAGGTGCAAATCACTTCACGCAAATTGATATTCATCCAGTTATCACAGCTCACTAAGTGACCATTGTAGGTTTCCCCATTTTTCAACTCAACCAACTAAAACATTGAATACGATAAGTATTTTAAGTAAATGAATAAATTTTTAGGATAGCTATACATACCATAGGATGATTCTGTGCAGTTCTCAACAAAGATAACGGCAACTGAAATGTTAAACATAAATTGTCATCGTTATATACTTTTATGTAAATCAAATGTAAATATAGCTAGTTAAAAAAAATTGATGAAATATATTATATATTGGGTTGTTTGGAAAGTAACTTCGTTTTTTATAGACATTTTGGCACGTAATTTTCATACAATAAACAAATACTTAGATAAATTATGTATTGGCAGTTTTGATCGAACATCTTTTGTCATATTTCTTGTATTAGTATAATTTAGAGTTCATAATTGTTTTGATCGTTATTGGCAAAAAGCTGATCAAAGTGATTTTTGACATGCTGATTTGAGTTAAAGGTTTTACCGCCCCAAAATTTTTTTAGTGCGCAGAACAAATAATTGTCCGATGATGGCAGGTTTGGAAAATATGATGCATGTATCATTGGGTCCTATTGAAGCTACAAAAGCTTTTGGCAATTGACCAAACTTATGTGAGGTCTTGTGTCATCTTGATGCAGAACTATACCTTGCTTGTGGGTTAATTCTGACCTTTTCTATTGAACTATATCATTTAGTTTATTAGCTCATGACATATAGCATCCAAAATAACCTTTATGTTATCCTGGAAAAGCTGAAAAATGAACAACTCCTTTAAAGTCATACCAAACATACTGCCTTTTTTGGCAAATTTCAGTTTTTGCACCTGTTTTGAGCAGGTTTTTTTTTGTTTCATGAGTGTGTATTGTATTCTTTACATCCCATTTAACACTTCTAGTGACAATTTGCTTTAAAACCCGACAATTTTCAGGACTTTTCAGAGGCGAATTGCGGACGCCAGTGCGACGACACACGTTTCATTCTATTAGAACCATACATTGAGTTTCAAGGAAAATCCCAGACATTTTGAGTGGTCATAGACTGCTAAATTTAAAAAATTTTAACTCAATGGGATCTCATGTATTGTTAGTCATCGGTTTGCATCAACTAATGCCTTTCTTGCATCTTTATCAGTTTGAATCGTACTTTTTGAAGTTGGTGCATCTTGGACATCAAAATACCAGAAATGTCAACAAGTCATTTTTGTAAACATCGGTCAATTTCATTTTGACTTAAACAGTATATTCACATTTTCTATAGCAAAAGAGTAAAATATGTCGAAAATGCTACTTAAATCTTTCCGTATTCAAAGTGGTACCATCTAAAAACTACTGCATGTAAATGATTAGAATTTTCTACACACAAGCCTCGAAATGTAAGTTTTCAAATCGTATAATAACAACAACAGGGCTTGAGTGTGATGTTAGGTTCAAAAAAAATATAGTTAAATTGTCATGATAAAGAAACGAAGTGACTTTCCGATCAACCTTATAACAGTATTCCTCAAATAAAACAGGTTTAACACAGGTATGGATTTATATTAACATCTTAGGTCATAACCAACACGGAGGTTTACTAACAAGAACCATTACCCTGCAACATTTTAAATTACTAGAATGAATATAATCAACTATAATTAATTCCTTAATGTTGCAGGAAATCTTTGAAATAATGAATACCAAATTATAAGCATTATTTAGTACTTTTTAGGAACACATACCATGTTTGTGTTATATTGCCAAAGTAAACAGAAACAAAGAACTTATAGTGTTCACTGTCAGCTTAAACGTTCACAATAAGTTATATTCAAGTGAAAATTAATTTTGAGGTCTTAATTCTCAAAAATTCAATATTTTTGTTTTGTGCGTTCTAAAGACTTATAAATTGTCAAATGTCTTCCTAACATAACCTTAAAACTTTTGACATGCGACGTCACCATCTATCGGGGAATGGCCGAAGTTTTTGGGAACTGTCACTTTGACAGTTCCAATAATATTTTTGACAGCTGTCTTTAGTACTGTCAATGTGCTTGAGTGTTGTGCAATCTGAAAGAAAAATGTTTATTTTATTATAAATGTATCAAACATTTGGTAAGTTGTTTATAAATTAGATTATTAAATATGAATCACACTAAATCATAAAATGTATGCGACTTGTTTCATTATAATATACACTATAATTAGTGACTTGTTTTTTTGTGTACTTTCATTCACCATGTGTTTGATCAAAACATTATGTCTGGTATATTCTATATTTTCAAATTTCTATTTTATATTATAAAAGCATATATATATATATATATATATATATATATATATATATATATGATATATATTCTTACATTTTTATATTATTGTCTTTTTTATAAAATATGCATTCATAATTAAATGAATATATTTACATATTATATTAATCAAATCATTCTACATGATTGAAGATATATTTAATTCAATTAGAGTATCAATATGTGTTAGCATGTTAGACAAATAAATTTAAATAGCAACATTTTTGTTTAAAAAGTTCATGTAATTTTTTTTTATTAACTTCAATTGTTTTAAAAATCTCTCTTGATAATTGTCTATTTGTTATCAACTTTCATTTATTATACTGATTTATTGGTGTGAACAAAGATATTCGTTATAAAGTCCAATAAGTTTTACTTTTATAGGTCATTGTACTCTATGATTCAGTTTTATGCAATTTATATATCGAAATATAGTTTATTTCATATCTATCAATTTAAATATGTATATTTGTATACATACATATTGTGCAGCATTTTTAAAACTGATTATAATTGTGTTGTATTCTAATTATATATATTTGTGGTATCAATTACTATTAATCTTTAATTTAAACATCTTGGGGGGCGTTCATTAATCACGTGAGCGAGTTTTTAAGCTTTTGGACTCCCCCTCCCCCTGGGTGATATTAAAAATTACCTCCCTCCTACACCAAACATTACGTGTATTTTTAGTTACATGATAAAACTGTAATTTTTTTTATTTATTTTTTTGAAAATATTTGAACTTCTTTTAAAAAATCTGTTAAAAATGAATATACGTGATATCTTACTATACCCCTCCCTCCCCCACGTGATATTTTGCGATTTTTTGTCAAACCCCCTCCCCCTAAAAACCTCACGTGATTAATGGAAGTCCCCTTTTTGTTCCTATAAGATATAAAATACAGAGATCGTTAATAAAACTGAACAAATTAAAATGTACATATGGACATAAATGACTGAACTTCCAGAAGTAAATGTTTTAGAATGTTTGCTAATTTTATGTTTTCTCGACATTTCAAACAATTCTGAATCGAATAAGACCAAAATTTGAAAAAAGTATATGTGTGTGTGTGTATGTGAACAAAATTTTCACCCTTAATGGACGTTTTCTCAAAAACAGCTGGACCCATTTCAAAAATATAAAAGCATTTCATAAATTTAAAATTTGTCAGTTTTGCGCGACGATCGGCCAAACTGTTTCTTAGGAATTAAGATAAAAAAGAAAAAAAAATTGTCCACGTTTTAGCCAAAAGTTACGAATAGATTTTATCAAAAACTATTTGATAGATGTTATTTAGAAATTCTGCTGATTAGTTTTGGACAAAGATTGGCCGAGCCATTTTTTCGTAATTAACTTCGAAATATTTTTCATTGTCCTAATGAACATACTAAAATATTACGGTCCAACGACAAGTGGTTTTATCTTAAAAATTCATCAAATTTATTATTTGAAAATTTGTGTTCAAAGTCGCAAATATATATTATATAAAAGCAATTGTAATAAATTTGATAAGGAGGAGCCGCGGTTAGGTTTGCGAGAAGATCGGCCAAGCCATTTTTTGGAATAAGCGGAAAAATAAGTATACAAAACATCTCTAATTGTGTAAAAATATATTACTAAAATTCAAATCATTTAATATTATCAAATAGTACGTGAATGATATATGTAATCGTGCAATTGATAATGTCATCTAAAATATCTAAATGTCAATAACGATTCATCAGACAAGTCAATTATTACACATTTCGGGAAGTTCATGCAACTTGCCTTAATGCAAAAATGGCACTCTCAACTAATTTGGTAATTTGATTTATAATATTAATAAGTATTTAAATTTATTAGGTTTCATATTATAAAGCAGAATTGTATAAAACTTTGAAAATCCATCTAAAAAGTATCTCTAATTGAATTGTTTATTGTTTGTATATGAATCAAAGTATCATTAATAAATAAATCGTTCACATGTATTTTAATGATTTTTTTATAAATGTAAATATTTTTATATTTTTCTATCTATATAATGAAAATTAAACTCATTTTAAATTATATTTCACTATATAAAAGGTAATAGCATCAAATAAAAATACTCCTTGTGTTAAATTAATATCGAAATATCAGACAAATTATATATCAAAATACCATAAACGTTTATTATGGTCTTAAATTTTTGTTGTATGTCCTATATTCCAATATTTGTTCTATGATTGAATGATTTATAACTGCCCACATGTTGACCCAATTTTTCTAAAATTCGCGAATTCACAATCTTGTTTATAGCTTATGATTTATGGTGCATTGTGATAAAAATATTGCCTTTGAAATTAAAAAATCACGTGAAATTTGTTCCTATAATATTTGACAAACACATATATTTTACACATAACAGAAAAAATAAAAAGCAAATTGATAACGTAAAAGTTAATTATTTTTTATATGTATTTTGTTTTTGGAATTTGTCATGTTATCCATTACTTTTAGTATTTATTTTGTGTTTTCTTGTAGTTGTACTTAAATTGTTAATAGTCAATATAATAATATATTTGCCACTTAATGTTTTATATTTTATTGTGCACTGAGGAAGATCTAAACTAGATCTCGAAACTTATGGAACCTTATTAATTTTTCCTAATGCAATATATTTTAATATAATAAATTTGTTAATGAATAGATATTTTGTTGATAAAGTTATTTTTGAAACAGAATAATCACATATATTATCAGAAAATAATCACATAGTCATAATAAAATTAGAAACAATCAGCCACATGTGAAAATAAAAATCATATGCATATTTATTGTTTATTTGAAGATAATGCGAACTATATTATTCATGATAATTAATTTGCAAGATTAAAATTCTTCAATTATATTATTAGTTATGTTATTACAAAGATAACGTGTTAGAAATTTGTCGGGCTTGATAATTTATTATTTGAAAATATTGTATGCGATTTCCGTCGAATTTGTTAACATTCCAATTCTATGCGAGAATAGTGCGTAAATACATTTGATTGTATATGAATATTTCTAAAATTCAACAACTTTGTCGTCTTGAAATTATGTGGGAATTTTATACTCAAATTGAATCCAATATTGTTTAGAAATTTATATTATACATACATTGTATGAATGTAGTTAGATTTATTATGTGTCAGAGCAACGTATGTCGGGTTTGCTAGTATATATATATACATATATACATATATATGTATATATATATATCTTATATATAAAATTCTTTTATAATGATGTATGTAAATATACTCCTCCTAATCGATTATTCGGATTTTGATAAATCTTTCTGAAGTTTGTTAAGGGAATTTTTTAGGATGTATGTGATTATAAAAATATAGTAATTTAAAGACATGACAGCAAACAACATATTTGTTTGACACTGAAAACATTTTGATACATGAGAATTGTCAAAAATGTCGATTCACTTGAAATTTGAATTTAGTTTAAACGAGCCTAGATAATGTTAGTATATAATATCCATGTTCATGATTATGAATGAGAAAAATGTAATATGCATACTATTATTAAAGCAGTTTAATATAATAACAAATTAATAAGACAATACGTCCAAAATTGCATATATATATTTTTTTTTAATCTAATGCATGTTGTATTTAGCTTTACTTTACAAAATGATTTAAATACAAAAGAATATTTATACTTATTGAAAAAATGATTTAGAATTTTATTTTGTGAGTCAAAAATTCATTTATTTCATCATGATCTTAGATTGAACAGTGCCGTATGAACTAGATTTTAAAAATTAATTCATCTAAGATTTTAACTAATGTTTATTATATTATTAGTATGAAAAATGTAACTTCGAAATTAAAATTGCCAAAAAGCAACTAATATAGGGTACTCGATTATAAAAATTATAGACTATTATATATCATATAAATTATTGAATGAATTATTGGTTGGAAATAACAAGGGTGATATCGTTCTTTTACCGCAGATACTATTTTTTTTCTTTCTGAATTTCTAATACTGATAAAAAATGCAGTTTCCAATACGTATATAGTTTGTACTGAGATCATAAATGAAAGGGCATTAAATAGAATATTAAAAAGTATAGGATAGCATTTTAAAAATTTGGAATTTAAATTGAAGACGCGGGTACAGGACAACGTCTGTCGGGTCATCTGGTATATATATATATATATATATATATTAGTTTAATAAATTATTTAAATCTATGCATACGTACCCAGAATTTGCATTATCTTCAGCCAATAATATTGCGGTACTTATGTTTTTCATTCCTTACATTTGATGCAAGTAAGAAAATTACAAACAAAATCAGGTTTGCCTTTCTTAGAATTCTATTACTATTGTGATTCATTTAATGCAACAGGTACAGTTGAATAATTGAACATTTCGATTGTGATGAGTAGTATCAATTGATCTAAGTTTTGGATTTGATTAGATTTACGATTTATGAAATTTTATGTTTATATTCAGAAAACAGATAAATGTCGGGGTTATCACTGCAGCTGGATATAAATTGATTGATGTCAATGCGCTATATAAATTGTAACAGTATCAAAAAGCAT